GGACACGTTGATGGATATTCCCTAAAATTCAACCTGGAATTCCTTTCCTAAATATTCCCAAAAATCCAGCCTGGACATTTTTTGATCCAGGATGGACCCGTTGCTGAATATTCCCAAAAATCCAACCCAGAACTCTTTTCCTAAATAATCCCTAAAATCCAGCCTGGACCTTCCTTCCTAAATATTCCCTAAAACTCAACCTGGAACTCCTAAATATTCCCAAAAATCCAGCCTGGACATTTTTTGATCCAGGATGGATACATTGCTGTATATTCCCAAAAATCCAATCTGGAACTCCTTTCCTAAATATTCCCAAAAATCCAACCTGTAACACTTTTTCTAAATTTTCCCTAAAATCCAACCTGGAACTCCTTTCCTAAATATTCCCCAAAATCCAGCTTGGGACTCCTTTCCTAAATATTCCCTAAAACTCCAACCTGGAACTGCTAAATATTCCCAAAAATCCAGCCTGGAACTCTTTTTCTAAATTTTCCCAAAAATCCAGCTTAGAACTCCTTTCCTAAATATTCCCAAAAATCCAGTTTGGAACTCCCTAAATATTCCCAAGAGTCCAGCCTGGGCCTGTTTTGATCCAGGATGGATGCATTGCTAAATATTCCCAAAAATCCAACCCAGAACTCCTTTCCTAAATATTCCCTAAAATCCAATCTGGAACTCCTTTCCTAAATATTCCCTAAAATCCAAGCTGGATCTGCTCGGGGAAGTATTGGTGAAAATCTGACCTGGGATTTGTGGAGTCCAGGATGGACACGTTGGTGAATATTCCCTAAAATTCAGCCTGGACATTGCTAACTATTCCCTAAAATCCAGCCTGGAACTCCTTTCCTAAATATTCTCTAAAATCCAGTCTGGAACTCCTTTCCTAAATATTCCCCAAAATTCAACCTGGATCTCCTTTCCTAAATATTCCCAAAAATCCAGCTTGGACATTTTTCGATCCAGGATGGATGCATTGCTAAATATTCCCAAAAATCCAATCTGGAACTCCTTTCCTAAATATTCCCCAAAATCCAACCTGGAACTCCTTTCCTAAATATTCCCTAAAATTCAACCTGGAATTCCTTTCCTAAATATTCCCAAAAATCCAGCCTGGGCCTGTTTTGATGCAGGATGGATGCATTGCTAAATATTCCCAAAAATCCAATCTGGACCTTCTTTCCTAAATATTCCCTAAAATTCAACCTTGGAATGCCTTTCCTAAATATTCCCTAAAACTCCAACCTGGAACTGCCAAATATTCCCAAAAATCCATCCTGGACCTTCTTTGCTAATCATTCCCTAAAATCCAGCCTGGACCTCCCTCATTCCCGGAAAGACACCATGCTAAATATTCCCAAAAATCCTGCTTGGACATTGCTAAATACAAAACAAATATTTCAGTTTCATGTTTAAATGGATAAATATTCCCTGAAATCCAGCCTGGAACTCCTTTCTTAAATATTCCCTAAAATTCATGCTGGAACTCCTTTCCTAAATATTCCCTAAAATCCAGCCTGGAACGCCTTTCCTAAATATTCCCCAAAATCCAACCTGGAACTCCTTTCCTAAATATTCCCAAAAATCCAGCCTGGACATTTTTTGATCCAGGATGGACCTGTTACTGAATATTCCCAAAAATCTAACCCAGAACTCTTTTCCTAAATATTCCCCAAAATCCAGGCTGGAACTCCTTTCCTAAATGTTCCCAAAAATCCAGCCTGGACCTTTTTTGATCCAGGATGGACACATTGATGAATATTCCCAAAAATCCTGTCTGGAATTCCTTTCCTAAATATTCCCAAAAATCCAGTTTGGAACTCCCTAAATATTCCCAAAAATCCCGCCTGGGCCTGTTTTGATCCAGGATGGATGCATTGCTAAATATTCCCAAAAATCCAATCTGGACCTTCTTTCCTAAATATTCCCTAAAATCCAAGCTGGATCTCCTTGGCTAAGTATTCCTGAAAATCTGACCTGGGATTTGTGGAGTCCAGGATGGACACGTTGATGGATATTCCCTAAAATTCCGCCTGGAATTCCTTTCCTAAATATTCCCCAAAATCCAGCCTGGACCATTTTTCATCCAGAATGGACATGTTGCTAAATATTCCCAAAAATCCAATCCGTAACATTTTTTCTAAATTTTCCGTAAAATCCAATCTGGAACTCCTTTCCTAAATATTCCCAAAAATCCAGCCTGGACCTCCCTCATTCCAGGATGGACACCATGCTAAATATTCCCAAAAATCCTGCTTGCACATTTCTAAATACAAAACAAATATTTCCATTTCATGTTTAAATGGATAAATATTCCCTGAAATCCAGCCCAGATTGCCCCAAATTTCCGGGAATTTTGCCGTCCGTTCGCAGGGCTCGGAGCGGGATGTGGTGGCCACGGTGGAGCGGGAATTTGGGAAGTTGGAATCCTTCATCAGCCAGGTCCTGGATGAAGCCGTCGTCACCAAGGAGCTCTGGAAATCCCTGGGATGCAAATTCACCGTGAGAACCAAGGGAATTGGGGGTGGGTTGGGAATTGGATAAGGATCAGGAATTTGGGGTGGGTTGGGAATTTGATAAGGATGAGGAACTTGGTATGGATTGGGAATTTGATAAGGATGAGAAATTTGATAAGGATGAAGAATTTGGTATGATTGGGAATTTGGTATGATTGGGAATTTGATAAGGATCAGGAATTAGATATGGATCAGGAATTTGAAGTGGATTGGGAATTTGATAAGGATGAGGAATTTGGTATGGACTGGGAATTTGATAAGGATGAGGAATTAGATATGGATCAAGAATTTAATATGGATCAGGAATTGGAAGTGGATTGGGAGTTTGATAAGGATGAGGAATTTGGGGTGGATTGGGAATTTGAAGTGAACTGGGTATTTGATAAGGATGAGGAGTTTGGTATGGATTGGGAATTTGATAAGGATGAGGAATTTGGGGTGGATTGGGAATTTGATAAGGATCAAGAATTCAATATGGATCAGGAATTGGAAGTGGTCTGGGAATTTGATAAGGGTGAGGAATTTGGTATGACTGGGAATTGGATAAGGATCAGGAATTAGGTATGGATTGGGAATTTGAAGTGGTCTGGGAATTTGATATGGATCGAGAATTTGATAAGGATGAGGAATTTGGTATGGATTGGGAATTTGATAAGGAGGAGGAATTTGGTATGGATCAGGAATTTGATAAGGAGGAGGAACTTGGTATGGATTGGGAATTTGGAGTGAACTGGGAATTTGATAAGGATGAGAAATTTGGTATGGATTGGGAATTGGATAAGGATCAGGAATTAGGTATGATTGGGAATTTGATGTGGTCTGGGAATTTGATATGGATCAAGAATTCAATATGGTTGAGGAATTGGAAGTGGATTGGGAATTTGATAAGGATCAGGAATTTGGTATGGATTGGGAATTTGAAGTGAACTGGGAATTTTATATGGATCAAGAATTTGATAAGGATGAGGAATTTGGGGTGGATTGGGAATTTGATAAGGGTGAGGAATTTGGGGTGGATTGGGAATTTGATAAGGATGAGGAATTTGGTATGGATTGGGAATTTGATAAGGATCAGGAATTAGATATGGATCAAGAATTCAATATGGATCAGGAATTGGAAGTGGATTGGGAATTTGGTATGGATTGGGAATTTGATAAGGAGGAGGAATTTGGGGTGGATTGGGAATTTGATAAGGATGAGGATTTTGGTATGGATTGGGAATTTGATGAGGATGAGGAATTTGATAAGGATGAGGAATTTGGTATGGATTGGGAATTTGATATGAATTGGGAATTTGATAAGGATGAAGAATTTGGTATGGATTGGGAATTTGATAAGAATGAGGAATTAGATATGGATCAAGAATTCAATATGGATGAGGAATTTGGTATAGATAGGGAATTTGATAAGGATGAGGAATTTGGTATGGATTGGGAATTTGAAGTAGTCTGGGAATTTGATATGGATCAAGAATTTGATAAGGATGAGGAATTTGGTATGGATTGGGAATTTGATGAGGATGAGGAATTTGGTATGGAGAGAATTTGATAAGGATCAGCAATTAGATATGGATGAGGAATTTGATAAGGATGAGGAATTAGATACGGATTAAGAATTCAATATGGATCAGGAATTGGAAGTGGATTGGGAATTTGGTATGGATTGGGAATTTGGTGTGGATCAGGAATTTGGTATGGATTGGGAATTTGATAAGGATGAGGAATTTGATATGGAGGGAATTTGATAAGGATCAGGAATTAGATATGGATCAGGAATTGGAAGTGGATTGGGTATTTGATAAGGTTAAGGAATTTGGTATGGATAGGGAATTTGATAAGGATCAGGAATTTGGTATGGATTGGGAATTTGATAAGGATCAGGAATTTGGTATGGATTGGGAATTTGAAGTGAACTGGGAATTTGATAAGGATCAGGAATTAGATATGGATCAGGAATTAGATATGGATCAGGAATTTGATAAGGATGAGGAATTTGGTAAGGATGAGGAATTTGGTATGGACTGGGAATTTGATAAGGATCAGGAATTGGAAGTGGATGGGGAATCTGGTGTGGATTGGGAATTTGATAAGGATCAGGAATTTGATAAGGATCAAAAATTCAATATGGATCAGGAATTGGAAGTGGATTGGGAATTTGATAAAGTTAAGGAATTTGGTATGGATTGGGAATTTGATAAGGATGAGGAATTTGGGGTGGATTGGGAATTGGATAAGGATGAGGAATTAGATATGGATCAAGAATTCAATATGGATCAGGAATTGGAAGTGGATTGGGAATTTGATAAGGATGAGGAATTTGGTATGGATTGGGAATTTGACAAGGATCAGGAATTTGGTATGGATTGGGAATTTGATAATGATCAGGAATTAGATATGGATCAAGAATTCAATATGGATCAGGAATTGGAAGTGGATTGGGAATTTGATAAGGATGAGGAATTTGATAAGGATCAGGAATTTGGTATGGATTGGGAATTTGGTATGATTGGGAATTTGATAAGGATGAGAAATTTGGTATGGATTGGGAATTTGATAAGGATGAGGAGTTTGGTATGGATTGGGAATTTGATAAGGATGA